GAACTATTGGGACTTCATCAAGATAAAAAGCTTTTGCAAAGCAAAGGAAACAGTCAACAAAACGAAAAGACAACCGACAGAATGGGAGAAGATATCTATGCTTTTCTATGTGTTTGAAAAATATGAAAAAAACAGTATGTTTTCAAAATTCTAAAACAAGAGCCAAAACAGCAATATAAAAAAAAAGACACCACTACAAAATATCCTTGCAGATAAGTAAATGAAAACTTTGTGTATGATAAAGATTCATTTCTTTTTTTTTGTTAATGTTAGTCACCATACATTACATCATTAGTTCTAGATGAAGTGTTACATGATTCATTGTTTGTGCATAACAGCCAGTGCTCCATGCAGAATGTGCCTTCCTCAATACCCATCACCAGGCTAACCCATCCTCCTACCCCCCTTCCCTCTAGAACCCTCAGTCCATCGTCTCTCATGGTTCGTCTCCCCCTCCGATTTCCCCCCCTTCATTCTTCCCCTCCCGCTACCTTCTTCTTCTTCTTTTTTTTTCTTAACATATATTGCATTATTTGTTTCAGAGGTACAGATCTGAGATTCAACAGTCCTGCACAATTCACAGCGCTTACCAGAGCACATACCCTCCCCAGTGTCTATCACCCAGTCACCCCATCCCTCCCACCCCACCCCCCACTCCAGCAACCCTCAGTTTGTTTCCTGCGATTAAGAATTCCTCGTATAAAGATTCATTTCTGATTCATGACCTCCTGAAATGTCTTTTTGTAGCTATTAACTCTGTTTACTGTTTTGTAGCCTCTTTTTGCTTTTGAATACAAAGAAGTGTTCCCTGAAAATGGGTGGAAGCTATATGACTCTCTTTTAGAGTATAGAAGACAGGTAAGTACTTTTGTTCTTTCAGTTTTAATATTGTATATTCATTACAACAAAAAACTTAAGGGTAGAAGTATATAGTTTTATATAGTTGTGTGGGTTTTGTTGTTGTTTTAATGAAGGCTAATCCTGATTTCTTGTCTACCTTTCAGTTTCTTTAAACTGTTTGAGACTATGTTAGTGATCTTTTATGAATCTCTACTTATCTAAGAGCTAACAAGTAAATCAGCTTATTAAAAATGTTTAATAATGATAAAAATTAAATGGTAAATATATTTACATTTTAATATTCTTATATACCATTCACCATTATTCACTCACCTTTTTCTCTTTTGGGTATCCTATAGTATAATTCTGAAAAAATTTCATAGTAGTTCTGCTTATAACTTAGCTCCCCATGAAATTTTGAAAGTTTTAGATCTTCATAGAGGACACACATACATAAAATGTTAACAAATCAAATCTGATAATATACAAAAGAGATAATACAACATGACTAAGGTGGGTTGGTTTACTATGAGAAAACCTATCTGTGATTCATCACAGTAAGAGATGAAAGCAGAATTCAGTCTGGAAATCTGTGTGACAGTCTGTCATCCTCCCTATTCTCTCTCAGTACACCACTTCCCAGAGTCCTTTACTGAATATTTAAACTCTACCTAAAATAGTCTTTAACTTTCCGCATGTTCATTCTGCTTTCTTGAGAATTTAAGTTCAGACACATTGGTTGTTTCTTTGGTAATTATTAGATTCAGATCCAGATTATTCTAGAATTCAGATACGAAAATAAGCTGTGATTTTTGTATTTAGATTTCAAACATTGCGTTTGAATTACGGAGCCTCTAATTTACTTAAGTTTGTTTCACAAAGCAAGGAAGAGTAAAAATCCACCACTAGAGAACTAAAGATATCCAAATGGTTTGAAGTATCGTTTGTTGCTCAGTTGCATCTGGCCAGTAAAACTGAAAATTTCTTATTCAGTTAATAAAGTCATCAGCTTGGCAAAGTATGAAACAGAATACGCAGTAAGTGAATCAACTAAAAATCAAGAGTCTATTGCAAGATTTTTGCTAATTCAAAAAGCCGATATCAGAATTAGGTGGGAAAGCAATCAGAAAATCTAACAAATGTCCTGAGAAATGTCAAAATGAGGAATATTCTCTAGGAATCTGGGCAAAAATTGCCATCAACCTAGAATTTTGGAAAGCAGGTGAGATAAGTATGTCCACAGAAAAGAAATAAATTATTATGGAAAAGAGAATGTAAGTTAAAGAGTAAGTAAACAACTATACCCCTACAGAAGGAGTATTACGAGATTAGGAAATGGGGCTGTCAGAATAGAGCATCGAACTCTACATGAAATGATACAGATGCTTTATGATCTTTGACTTACTAGATGAATTTTTGAGGTTTTTTTCCTGCAGAGCTAGACACTTTGTCCCTGAGGCAACTAAACTGAAGTGTAGTATAGAGAACACTGTATTTCCTGTGGTTAGAAGACTCAGGTTTGGGGGTTGATTTTGATGTATATTAAGTTTATTACAGGAGAAAATGAAGATAATCTTTTAATATAAACCTTAAGACTAAAGAGAACACATCAGAGTATTCTTTTTTTTCTTTTCAATTAAAAAAAATTAAAAGTGGTTACACTTGCATTCTGTATAAAATGCAGAAGTTGAATTTGAATTGAATTTGAATTGAAAGGTTGGTTTCCCTTCCAGGACAACCTTGTCCCCCAGCCACCCCAGTTCCTTTCCTTTTAGGAAATAATGTTGCTGGTTACCTATGTATGTTTTCAGAGATTTTATGCCTTCTTTTTCATTTAATGTATTTTGGAGGATACATACCATCTCAGAACATACAGACCTGCCTATTCTTTTTTTCTTTAAAGTTGAGGTATAATTCACATACCATAAATTGTACCACTTTAATGTACAGTCCACTGGCTTTTAACATATGCACAGAGTTGTGTAACTGTTACCACAATCAAATTCCCGAGCATTTAGAAGACTGAGTTTGAGTCTTTTCTTCATATCTCTAGCTCTTACTTAGTTCTCAGTCTTAGGTATATGTTCTTGAATGAGTCATTTATGTCACAGTGCTTTTATTTTTTACTTGGTCATAGGAACTGCTTTATAGGAATGTTTGAAGGATTAGTAATATACAGGAAGGTATTTTATTAACCAAAGAAATCTATCCAAGTGATTATTATTGTTTTTATTACTTTGTAAAGCTTTCTAAAAACAGAAATCATGACTCGTGAGCTTCATTGTGTGCAGCCACTAAAACACAAGGGGAAAGCCACATTAATTCTGTAGACCGATACATTATAGTGCTGAGCATACATTATTTTTAATGGGCAAAATTATTAATAACTATTTAAATTTGTCATGTAAGAGGATGTTTCTTTACTCTTGATGCATGTAGTGATTATACAGAGGACCCTTGAAATTTGTGGATAAGATCAAGAAAAATCATCAAGTTGCTAAAACAGTAAAAGTCAGTCTTAAGGAAATGAACATGGTCTTCTGCAGAAATATTCAGTCATAAGGTAGATAGATGTGTTGCTTAACAAATTTGCAAAACACTCAAGTCCAGTCAAGGAAAACAGAATTTATCCTTAGCACTGCAATGTAAATAACTAAGGAAAGCTATAATCCAGTTAATTGGGTTGTAACTTGACTCTGAAAAATGGATACATTAACTGAAGGACAATGATTTGCAGGGCAATTATAAATATGTATGCCAAAGATCAGTAGTTGTGTCTACGAAGAGTGTATGCTGACTAGTCAACCCCACTTTTCAGTTTGGAAGGCAGTTCCTTTAGTGGAGATAGGTGTATCACCTTATCTAGGAATAGGAACACAATAGCCAATAGTGTAATTTAAGTCAGTGGTTCTACCCCCACCTTTCCAATTTCCTGAAGAATGTGACACAGTCCCACTGGTAATAGTAGTTCTCCCTGGGAGGAATTTTTTAAGGATATGAGAAGGGATTGAGAGATGAGAGTACCTCCCTGGGTTGGGGGTAGTACATTAGGATCTCAGGTGATGTATGCTTCTCCGGTGATCCAGCCATCTTAGCTCTGACTCCATGTTGTCTAAGAAAACCTGAGAAACTAATTTTGCTTCTTATGAAGGCTTCCTTGTGATTCATTGATTTATTCATTAATCATTCCTTCACTCATCCATCCATCCATCCATCCAAGTTATGTAGCACTACATATACTAGTGGCTGAGTCTGTGAAACTGGAAGACATAATCCTGACTTCCAAAGAGCATATATTTAGTGGAGGAGTCAAAGAAGTAAACTGATGATTAAAATATACAGTGATGAATACAAATAGAGGGAGAGGGAGGTGGAGGCAGAGGGAGAAGCAGGCCTCCTGTGGAGCAGGGAGCCTGATGTGGGGCTCGATCTCAGGACCCTGGGATCATGACCTGAGCTGGAGGCCGATGCTTAACTGACTGAGCCATCCAGGCATCCTGACTTCTGATGTTTTAATTGTAATGTGTCTCAGTGTATCCCTGTTCAAGTTCAACATATTTGGGGTACTTTGGGCCTCATGGATCTGGATGTCATTTCTTTTCCCAGATTCAGGACATTTTCAGTCATTACTTTAAAAATACTTTCTGTCCCTTTCTCTTTCTTTTCTTCTGGAATTCCCATAATGTGACTGTTGTTTCTTTACATTGTGTCCCATAATTCCTGTAGGCTTTCTTCATCACTGTTTTTCATTCTTTTTTTCTTTTTGTTATTCTGACTGGTTAATTTCTTTTTTTTTTTTTTTTAAGATTTTATTTATTTATTTGTCAGAGAGAGAGAGAGCACAAGCAGGGGCAGCTGCAGGCAGAGGGAGAAGCAGGCTCCTCGCTGAGCAAGGATCCCGATGTGGGGCTCCATCCCAGGACCCTGAGATCATGACCTCAGCTGAAGGCAGATGCTTAACAGACAGAGCCACCCAGGTGTCCCTGACTGGTTAATTTCTAATATCTTATCCTCCAGGTCCCTGATTCTTTTGTATGGTTGAGTTTTGCTTTTGAAACTGTTGAATTCTTCAGTTCAGTTATTGTATTTTTCCACTCTAGGATTTCTGGATTTTTGTTCTTTTTTTTATGCCCGCTGTTTTCTTGTGGAACTTCTTGTTTTGCTCATCATTGTTTAATTGTCTATGTGTTCTTATAGCTCATTAAATTTCATTAAGAGGATTCTGAATTCTTTGTCTCACAGTTCATATATTTCCATTTCTTTAGGGTCAATTATTGGAGCTTTGTTAGTTTCCTTTGGTGGTATCATATTTACCTGATTTTTCATGATTCTTGATTTCTTACATTGGTATCTGCACATTTGAATGATTGGGCTTTTCTTCCAGAATTTATAGGTTTTCTTTGGCAGAGACCATTCTTCACTAATCAGTTCACTTTGGGTGTCTGGGAATGTCTGCTGGTACTGTCCTTGGGCAGGCGGGGCCTACTATTATGGTCTGTTTTGGGGCAAGGCAACTGTTTGAACTCTGAGGACAGAGACTGGGAAGGGTGTGCTACTGGTTGAGAGCAGTTGGATGGGATTGCTGGCTTGGTTCCCTACCCAAGTGAGGCTGTAGGATGGGCTCTACAGTTACCTGGATTCTCCGGTCAGGTATACTAGATTGCTGGGACTGGGTACTGTATTCATTTGTAGATGGGGCTATTAATTAGCTTTCCTGCCCTGGCAGGACAGCATGATGGGACCCAAGGCTCATTGTTTGGGGACCCAAATCAGGCCTAACTGTTCACCAAATTCCCTGGTCCAGCAGGGCCACTGGTTTTACTCTGCACACTGGAGAAGCCATGGGCTGTGTGCTCTGTTCTAATGTCATTGTACATGGGGCTGTTGAATGGGCTATGGAGCTTCTTGTGTTCTCTAGTTAGGGTCCCTGGCCAGACAGGCTGAGAGCTTTATTCAGCAATGAGCAGGGCAGTGAGTTAGATTCCCTTCCTGGCTGCAGCAGGAGAAACAGCTCTAAAGCCAGTAAAACTCTTTGTTGTGTTAACTCAAGCTGATCTAGATCCCCAAGTTCCCTGACCAAACAGGGCCACTAGCTTTGTTCTTGGCTATCTGCCCATTTCTTGGCTTGAGTACCATTGGACTACACTGCTACCATGAGTTGTTGCCTGCCCTTTCTGGTCAGATGGGGCTAGAAGACACTCCACAACTGGTTGGTCTGTGTTTTAGCTTCCTTGCCTTGGTGGGAGGGGGAGGGGCCTCACTAGCTACTCTCAATTTCCCAAACAGCCTTAGTGGTTGGGAAGAGCCAAGAGCTACCCTCAGCCCCAGCTAAGAATTAACTCCCTTCTTGGGATTGCTGCATTCCCAGGACTGGCTGTGCTCCGGGGGCAGTCAGCTCTTCTCTCCTGTCTCCCTGCTTGAGTGCTGCTGGTCCACACTGTTTCCAGTTTTTGCCAGTCCTTTTGGTCAGATGGGGTGGGAAGATACTTTGCAGTGTGTGGGGCAGTGATTTAGCATCTGGCCTGGGGGTGGGAAAACTGAATTCTAGGGCTGGCAAAACTCCTCCTTTGAGGGTCCAAATTAGGGAGTTCTGCACCCTGCTGAGTTCCCTGGTCAGAGTGTGTGCGCCCCTGACTCCGCTCTGCAGGTGAGCAAAACCACCCATATGGATTCCTCCTTGGCCCCAGGAGGTATGAACTCAGTTTGTCAGCATCCATGTGCTGGTTGTTGCAAGCCTGTCCGCACTTCTCCATCACAGTCAGATCCCCAGTGGTTGAGCCCCACAGATTCCCTTGCAGTTCCTGTGGTGCAAGATCAGAGTAGGGGCTCCCACGAGGTGACCCACAAAACCGGCGAGGTGCTGGTTGTCTCCTGTGGCTCAGGGGACACCCTTCTGTGTGGTGCCGGGCTGGCCTGGAGGGGAGGGACACTTGTCTTATGCTTCTAATGTAGTCTGTCTGGGTCTCTGAAGTGCAGGAATTGCTTCAGTCCAATGTTCGAGGATTCTCTCAGTGCTGTCTTGTTCTTGAATAGTTGTCAGTTGTTCTTGTGAGGGGGAGCAAAGTCAAGAACACCTATAATGCCATCTTGGTGAAGGAGTTATGCTTCATGTGAAAAGGAATAGGTAACCATTGATAGTTTTTAGAGGAATGCCATGATAACTTGCTTTTTTTTTTTTTTTTAAGATTTTTTTTTTTATTTATTTATTCATGAGAGACAGAGAGAGAGAGAGAGGCAGAGGGAGAAGCAGGCTCCCAAGGAGCAGGGAGCCCGATGCGGGACTCGATCCCAGGACGCTGGGACCATGACCTGAGCCGAAGGCAGACGCTTAACCATCTGAGCCACCCAGGCGCCCGATGATAACTTGCTTCTTAGACGATTATTGTAGAGGCAGCATGGAGAATGGATTGCAGAGGGACAGGAGAGAAGTGATAATGGCCTGAATTAGGGAAGATGCAATGAGAATTGAAAATACTGAACAAAGTTTTCTTTTGGTACTTTTAGAAGAAAAAATCATAGAAATTGGTCATTGATTGGATGTAAGGGGGTAAGGGAGAGGGATGAGTTGTATCTGAGGTTTTTGCTTGAGTATCACCTCTATAAACTTGCCAGTTCATTGTACTTTTTTGTTATAGCATGGAAACATATTTTAAGCCTTTAATTAAGTCTTTATTTTATTTCTAAAAATAAGAAAGCATCTTACCTGAATAGTTGTTTAGTATATAAAAAGTTAGGAAAGCAAGAGGGAGGGGGTGATGTATATCGTAAGAAGCAGGTTGGGACAAGGCTAATTAAATAGGGTATAGAGTGTAAGGCACCGGTAAAGAAACGGACCATGGCTCGGAATTCATGGAAACTCTATTTACCATATGATTACTGGGAGGGAATTTTCTCTCTTTACTTAATGTTCATACCCTCTTGGGTGTTTGGCAGTCACTTGAGAAATACCTCTTTAAAGGAGAGTACATTCTTCCCTTTGATTTCAGATTTTTATAACAATTCCGTGAACCAGGATACTAAGTTTTCTTTTTTTAAAGGAACAATGTACTTTTAAATAAAAAGGATAGATGTGCAATGTACATGGAGTTCTTTATTACCTCCTTTGTTTCGTCATCTATCAAATGGAGTTAACAAAACCTGGATACAATAATATGTGCATGTGTGTGTGTGTAAAGAGGTTGCTGACATGTACTGGCACATGATAGGTACTCAATAAAGGTTTTTTTTTTTTTTTTAAAAAACTATAATTAGTAGTTTTAGTATAGTTTTTAAAACTATAATAAAGAAATCTTTCAATTCTTTCTTTTTCTGATTGATTATATGAGTTGTCGGGGTCCATTAAATTTTAAATATATATATTTTCTTAGTTCCAACTAATTTAATGGCTTTATTTTCTGTAGAATGAAAGATGGAAAATTTGTAAGTATCTTATTTAGGTAACCCTTTCTGTGAAGTAGTAGACTGGTTATAGCTAATATTGAAGGATCAAATGAGAGCTTAATAATTGATGTGTTTTTAAAAAGTTTTTTAAATTATTTCTTGCCTCTTGGTTTTGTTTTTTTTTTTTTAATTTTTTAATTTTTTAAATTTTTTTTAAAGATTTTTATTTATTTATTTGACAGAGAGATAGCGAGAGCAGGAACACAAGCAGGGGGAGTCGAGAGGGAGAAGCAGACTTCCTGCCGAGCAGGGAGCCCGATGTGGGACTCGATCCCAGGACCCTGGGATCATGACCTGAGCCGAAGGCAGACGCTTAACGACTGAGCCACCCAGGCGCCCACTTGCCTCTTGGTTTTGCTTTGTTACTCCCTTGCTTTTATAATATGTGTTAGATTAGCAACATTCCCATTAGTACTATAATTTAGGAGGGAAAAATTCACTTTAGGTATCTAAATGATAAATATATGTATAGCGTTTTGATGGATACTGGGTACCTGCTCCCTGAAGTTTCTTTATGTAGATGAATGGCAGCAAAATGAATCATCCAGTCAAGCTCAGTGAAACTTTTTGTTTTTAAGACAGGGAACATTTGCAGTCTTACTGTGTCCTTCCCATTGGATATGTTTAGCACAGACCCAGCAATCTATCAGTATTTAATGATTTAAGAAATCTTTCAATATATAATTGAGCATCAAAATGAACATAGATCCCTACATTAACTCATCCTAAAAGCCTGGTCACTACAAGTAGACAGTAACTATTCCAGCAACTTAAGAGATGGATAGTGGAGATAAGAGAGGCTAAATAAGGTGGCTTCTGTTTCAGTGTCTTTTAATATTTTAGTTGGTAATTTGTCTTACGTTCTATTTCATGTGTAGGGAATTCCAAATGAAAGCTGGAGAATAACAAAGATAAATGAACGCTACGAGCTTTGTGATACATATCCTGCCCTCTTGGTTGTGCCGGCAAATATTCCTGATGACGAATTAAAGAGAGTGGCATCCTTCAGATCAAGGGGCCGTATCCCAGTAAGTGTGAAGCTTTGGTGAGACTTTGCAAATGCTTTTGTACTCTACGTAATGCTGAGGTTAATGAACGGGAGAATGGATGCAGGATAAAAATAGCTATAGCAACATGTCTATTACGGGGATTTTAGAGAATGAGTTATTTAGTAAAATTAAAACTGGAGGAAAGACTTAGATTAAAGAAGTTTCTGGAGAGTCTGACATGGGTAGGAGAGAACTGCACAGAATTGTGATTCTTAACTCGACAACAAAGTTGGCTCTGTATTGTTCACTATTTCTTTATTTTATTATATATTCTTTAATCATGGTGATAAATGCTCTTTTCCTTTAAATCCTAGAGAAAAGAAAACTTTACAAATTTATGATGAATTACTGTGTTTTAGAAAGATTGGCTCAAATAATTTTAGGTACAAAAGTCATAGATTCTGAAGACTTTATAGTTGGACAGTTTGCTGATTTAGTAATAAAACTTTAAGGGGTTTATTTAACCCCCTTTTAATGTACTGTGATTCTAGAGACAACACTTCTGAATAGTCATGACTTATGTAAATCAACACCTGATTAAAGGATTAGACCAAATTTTCCATATGCCAGAGTTGGCTTGAAAGAAAGGTGATGATTTTTATAGCAGCCTTGAATAGCCTTTCGTGGTTAGGCTTTGGAACCAATCAGAAAGCAGAATTTTATAGAGAAGTGTTTTTGAGAAGAATTATAAACAAATATATAAAGAGTGTGTCACTGTTTTTTCCCCCATTAAGGTTTTATCATGGATTCATCCTGAAAGTCAAGCCACTATCACTCGGTGTAGCCAGCCCATGGTAGGAGTGAGTGGAAAGCGAAGCAAAGAAGATGAAAAATACCTTCAAGCTATCATGGACTCCAATGCCCAGTCTCATAAAATCTTTATATTTGATGCCCGGCCAAGTGTCAATGCTGTTGCCAATAAGGTGAGATTGTCTTTCAGTAATTAAGATTACAATTATAGTTTCATGAATTGGCTGGGTTTGGTGGGAGCCACCATGTGTAGTAGAAAGATTTCAGGCTCTCCAGTGACAAAGATGTAGATTCTAATACTGGCTCTCCTACTTGATGGTATGACTTTGAGTTAGTTACTTAATCTCTTTTTTTTAAAGATTTATTTATTTATTTTAGAGAGCGAGAGCGAGCAGGGGGAGGGACAGAGAATCTCAAGCAGACTCCCCGCTGAGTGCGGAGCCTGACACGGGGCTTGATCTCATGACCCTGAGATCATGACCTGAGCCAAAATCAAGAGTCAGATGCTTAACCAACTGAGCCACCCAGGTGCCCCTAGTTAGTTACTTAATTTTTTAACTTTTTATTTGTTCACTTTTTGTTGAAGTACAATTGAGATACAACATTATGTTAGTTACAGGTTTACAACATATTTCAGTATTTGTATAGATTGTGAAATGATCACATTAAGTCTGTTTACCATCTGTCACCATACAAATTTACAACATATTCTCCTTATAATGAAAACTTTTAATATTAATTATAATAATACCATCTTAGCTTTCAAATTCACAATAACAATATTATTGACTATAGTCCCCATGTAGTATGTTACATTCTCATGACATTTATTTTGTAACTGGAAATTTGTGCCTCCTTATCTCCATCGATTTTGTTCCCTGACAAACCCTCCACTCTGCAACCACCATTCTGTTTTCTGTGTCTATGAGTCTTGTTTGTTTGTTCATTTGTTTTGTTTTTTAGATTCCATATATAAGTGAAATAATTCAGTGTTTGTCTTTGTCTGACTTATTTCATTTAACATCATACTCTTCAGGTCTATTTATACTGTCATAAATGGCAAGATTTCATTTCTTTTTATGGCTGAGTAGTGTTTCATTGTGTATATACACACACAAACACACACACACACACACACCCCACATCTTCTTTACATGTTCATCCATTGATGGACATGTAGGTTCTTTCCATATCTTGGCTATTGTAAACAATGCTGCAGTGAACATAGAGTGCACAGATCTTTTTGGATTAGTGTTATTGTTTCTTTCAATAAATACCCAGTGGTTCTATTTCTGAGTTTTTGAGGAACCTTCATACTTTTTTCCATCATGTTTATTTTTTTGATAATAGCCATTTTGACAGGTATGAGGTTATATCTCATTGTGGTTATAATTTGCATTTCCTGATAATTAGTGATTTTAAGCATCTTTTCGTGTGCCTGTTGGCCATCTGTGTCTTTTTTGGAAAAATGTCTATTCAAATCCTCTGCCTATTGTTTAAAAAATAAAATTTATTCTTAATTTTGTCAATGCGTTATATCTTGTTGATTGTTCTGTAGATGTTGAACCATGCTTACATCCCTGGAATCCTACTTGATCATGATGTATGATCCTTTCAATGTATTGTTGAATTTGGTAATATTCTGTTGAGGATTTTCACATCTATGTTCATTAGGGATATTAGCTTGTAATTTTTTTTTTGGGGTTGTCTGTTTTTGGTGTCAGGGTAATGCTGGTCTCATAAAATGAGTTTGGTATTGTTCCTGCCTCTTCAGTTTTGTAGGTATTTGAAAAGGTTAGGTATTAAATCTTCTTTGAATATTTGATAGAATTCACTGGTGAAGCTGTCCGGTCCTGGACTTATGTCCTGATACAATTTCCTTGCTAGTGATCCAGATTTTCTGTTTTCTTCCTGATTCAGTCTTGGAAGATTCTATGCTTCTAGGAATTTATCCATTTTTTCCCCTAGGTTGTCCAGTTTATTACTGTGAACCATATAATAGTTCAGAGTAGTCTCTTATGATCCTTTGTATTTCTTTGGTATCAGTTGGGACTTACCTTCTTTTACTTCTGATTATTATTTTTTTTTTTTTAAGATCTTATTTATTTATTTAATTGACAGGGAGAGAGAGACAGCATGAGAGGGAACACAAGCAGGGGGAGTGGGAGAGGAAGAAGCAGGCTTTCGGCTGAGCAGAGAGCCCGATGTGGGGCTCGATCCCAGGACCCTGGGATCGTGACCTGAGCTGAAGGCAGTCGCTTAACCAACTGAGCCACCCAGGCGCCCCATACTTCTGATTATTTATTTGAGCCCTCCCTCTTTTTTTTCTTAGTGTGTCTAACTAAAGGTTTATTGATTTTATTAATCTGGCTTAGTTTCATTGATCTTTTCTATTATGTTTTTAGTCTCTGTTTCATTTATTTCCACTCTGATCTTTATTATTTTCCTCTTTCTACTAATTTTGGGCTTACTTTATTTAGGTGTAGAGTTCGATTGTTTATTTACTATTTTCTTGTTTCTTCAGGTAGGCCTGCATTGCTAGAAATTTGCCTTTTAAGATTGTTTTTGCTGCGTCCTATAGATTATGGTGTGTTACATTTCCATTTCGTTTGTCTCAAGGTATTTTATATTTCTTCTTTGATTTCTTTGTTGACCCATTGGTTGTTCAGTACCATGTTTTTGCTTTGTGGTTACCATGAGGCTCATATATTACTGCCTTTTTATGTAACAGTTGTGTTAAGATGATAGCGGGTTAAGTTTGAATGATTTTAAAACTCTGCACTTTTACTCCCCCCTGACACATTTTATGTTTTTGATGTCAGATTCACAACTTTTTATTTTGTGTACCTTTAACTGTTTATTGTGGTTATAGTTATTTTCACTATTTTTTTCACCTTCGTACTAACTTCATAAGTTATTAATGCACTATGTTTACTGTAGATTTGTCTTTACAAGTGAAATTTTTACTTTCATATATTTTTTTGTTATTAATTAGTGCCCTTTCTTTTCTGCTTAAAGAAGTCCCTTTAACATTTTTTGTTAAGTCTGATACACTCTTTTAGCTTTTGTCTGGAAAGCTCTTAATCTCTTCTTCAATTCTGAATGATAACCTTGCCAGAAAGAATATTCTTGGTAGGAAGGTTTTCCTTTCAGTACTTTGAATATATCATGCCACTCTTTTCTGGCCTACACAGTTTCTGCTAAAAATACTGCTGATTGTCTTATAGAGGTTTCTTTGTATTTAACAAGTTGTTTTTCTCCTGCTGTTTTTGAGATTTTCTCCTATCCTTAACTTTTGACATTTTAATTATAATGTGACTTGGTATGGCTCTTTTTGGGTTTATCTTATTTCAACTCTCTGGACTGAAATGTCTCTTTCTCTAGGGAAAGTTTTAGCCATTATTTCTTCAAATAAGTTTTCTGCCCCTTTTTCTTGCTCTTCTCCTGGCTCCCCTATAATACAAATGTCATTTCAGTTTATGTTGACCCATAGGTCCCTTAAGCTATGTTCACTTTTAAAAAAAAATTTTTTTTTTTAAGATTATTTATTTATTTAATTGAGCGAGGGAGAGAGAGAGACAGTGAGAGAGGGAACACAAGTTGGGGGGTGGGAGAGGGAGAAGCAGGCTTCCCACTGAGCAGGGAGCCCGATGCGGGGCTCGATCCCAGGACCCTGGGATCATGACCTGAGCCGAAGGCAGTCGCCTAACCAACTGAGCCACCGAGGTGCCCCAGGCTATGTTTACTTTTTAAAAATTCTTTTTTGTTTTTGCAAAAATTCTTTTTGGTTGAGTTCCACTACCCTGTCTTCCAGCTCACTGATTCTGTCTTCTGTTTCATCTGGTCTGCTGTTGAACCCCTCTTGCATTTTTCAGTTTAATTATTCAGTTCTGTGACTTCTGTTTGGTACTTTCTAAAATTTTCTATATCTTTGTTGAAGTTCTTACTGTGTTTATCCATTCTTCAAGTTTGGTGAGCACCTTTAATGACCATTACTTTGAATTCTTTATCAGGTAAATTATTTATCTCCATTTCATTAAGGTTTTTTTCTGGTGTTTTAGTTTGTTTTTTCATGTGGAACATATTTTTCTTCCTCCAATGTTTCAGACCCATAGGGCCCAGAAACAATCCCCATGGCCACTCACTGGGTGTCTTCTATGTGGGCTACACATGCACCAGCTGGCTCTGATGCAGCCAAAGTGAAGTGGCATGTGGCGATGGTTTATTTACTCTTTTTAGACCTTAATTTGCTCATTTGCAAAATGAGAATAATAATAGCTAACGGGCTTGTCTTGGGGGCAAAACTCATCTAATAAAAAGTAGTGCATAACCTTGTGCTCATGTACATAATAAATAACTATTCAGCAGTTAACTGGTTTCCTTCTCCCTTCTCCAAACTTGACAACTAACTGAGCGTATGTCTGACTGAACTCTGCCCAGCATGGCTGTAGGAATTGGAAAGCAGTGTTCCCAGTGGCCAGTGATGCCCCCTTCTCCCTGCCCTTCACCTAATGAAGTTATTCACACTGCATACTTGCACTTAGCTGGAGCAATTGCCCTGGTTTCTGCTGTAGAACAAATATTTACATTGTGGAAATAGAAATTTTTGCCCGGTTGACAAAATCTGCCATAGGCGAAGGAGAGAGAAGGGATATAAATTAGCTTTAGTAAGTTACCTTTTTAACCCCCAAGAAACAATGTATCTGTATTATAGAATCAGCTAATGCAGATAAGCAAAAAGAAGAACATATTTTAAAACTCTAAATCCTGTAACATCATTAAAATTTGGTTGTACTTCCGGACCTATGAGTATATGCATGCACACATATATTTGAAACAGTGGGATAATTGTAACTTCTTTTTTAAAACACTGACACTGTATCTTTCTGTGCCAATAAACATTTATCTATAACATTATTTTAATGGTACAAGAACTAATAATATCAACTGTTACTGGATATTTAGTTTATTTCTGGGTTTTTTGCTTTTATAAACAATGGTGGGATGATCATCCTTTTAATTAAATTATGGTGCGTGTGCCTAATTATTTCCATCCTATTTAGTGTTTTGAGGGCATTGTGAGTTGCAGGCATTTTCTATTAAACTGTAAATGTTTCCCCTTAAAGGAGAAATGAGATAATGAGTACGTGAAGCTTGCAGCACAGGGACTAGC